CCGAAAGTTGCTCTACTCCACACTCCCTCTCACCCTGTAGAGAGGCCTGTGCCAGCCCCTTTCAACTCTGTTGTTTGGCAAATAGGGTGTATTTGAGATACACCCTGATCCCCAGCACTTGGAGCCTCCTCGAGAAGACTCAGGGCATGCAACAGCTGCCATCCAACCTTTAACATCAAAGGTCTCTCCTAGCGAATGGGGCCTGGATTTGTCCTTTGAGGCCTCCAGGATATGGCCTCCGAATAGTGTGACAATCTCTCTAGTGATTATAGACACCAAGTAACAGGCTTCCTCACCCCTCCCCATGCAGCAAGGACTCTGCCCCAGGTCTGTTGGGGATGAAGCTCTCTTTGAGGTTCAAGGACCAGGTGGTAAGTGAGACCCAGGACCCCTGACAACCCTTCCTAACTGGGACAATTCTGTGAGCTGGCCATCTAAACAGTGATTCTAAGTTACGAAACATTAAAAAACCTGTCTCCACTTCTTAGAAGCTTGTTAAACCTCTGTTTTCCTAGCCATAATATGGGGTCATGAGGATTAAATTAGATTATATTAATACAATATATAAATAATAGCTATTAGTGTTAGTGTGAGTATTAATATGCGTATGAGTACGAGAAGGTAGCATCGTGTAGCTGTTAAGAACCAGATCCAGATTTGGTCCCTAGTCACAGCCCCATACAGAAATTGGAACAGAAAACAAGGCATTTGGGGGGTCTGGGAAAAGGATTATTCATATTTTTTTAAAAATTCAGAACAGCTTCCTTCCTTTAGAACACCTGGTACATACATTTTGTTTGTTTGCCCTTAAATTTTTCTGTCTAGCACGCAGTAACTTTACAGAATTCATGAAGTCTAACAATACAAGGCATAGAGCGCCATGTGTGATGTGCTGGAGTCGGCTTGTACTAGCTCGTTGTGACAGTCTGTTAAATATTTAATTTTGTAAGCTGGTTGTTAAATATGGCCATTATTAAAAATTAAATCATGCAAACTTTCAATTTATTTATTTTAACAACAGAGGTACTAAATATTAAAAATTCATTGCTTCCTAATTATTTTATTAGAATCTATGTTCTTGAGGTTATTTACATCTACTATACAGTTGGCCTCCTATATTTACAAGTTCCACATCCATGGATTCAACCAACCACGGATCAAAAACATTTGAAAACAAAGTTATGTTGCCGCTGACATGTACTACGCAGTTAGGCCTACAATAGTTGCATCTGTACTGAACATGTACAGACTTTTTTCTTGTCACAATTCCCTAAACAATATGTATAACAACCATTTACTAGCATTTACATTGTATATGGTATTACAAGCAATCTTGAGATGATTTAAAGTATGCGGGAGGATGTGCATGGGTTGTATGCAAATACTATGTCGTTTTATGTAAGGGACTTGGGCATTCACACATGTGGTATCCTCAGGGGTCCTGGACTCAATTCCCTGCATATACCAAAGGACGACTGTATCTATGTGGTAGAAATATTATGTAATATGCACTACTGTGAGTCTCTTCTGACTCTGCTTTTGATATCTCCCTGTAACTTGAACTTAGCCATGGTGGGAATACTTACACCACTCAAATGGGCAAATGTTACAAACCAGAACCTTTTTTTTCCCCCCCAGAGAACCAGCTGTTAAATATTTACCAGCACATCACAGCCTCCACCCTCCATCCTTGTCCCACTTTGCTCCGTCCCTCATTTCCCACGCCCTGAAGGTAGCTACTTTCATTGCTTTTAGTTGTTGCCTTTTGCACTTATCCCCTTATGTCTTTTTTCCCCCTTATTTTTTAATTTCATGCTTTTACTGCCATGACTTGATTTCTAAAATCTTAGACATTGCCTATTGACTTCCTGTTATGGATGATGGGGATCTGGCTCTCTTCCAGCTGTCTCCCCTCTTACCACACACAC